TTCCATGAAAATATCTTCTTAACTGCAAACATGTAAAATGTTCCACTTGAATGCACACCATGGTTATTTAATTGGGATTAGGTTCTGATCTATAGAAAAAATTAACATCAATAGGTTTTTTATGTTTTGATAGTTTATTTTTAACCGACTTCAAAAAAAGAAGGTTTGTAATTCGAGTTGTATGTACGTAATTTCGTTGGAATGGCGTAATATTTATATATGATGGTCGAAAAGGGTTTCTTAACGTATGCCAAATTTTATAGATGTATGTATGTATATTTGTCCACGGATATCTCGCAAACTAGACGTCGAATTGCAATGATTCTTGTAAATATCTGACACCGACCTCAAAAACATGTTGGTGTATCCACTATTTGTGTTTCGATTTTATTTAAGATTGAAATTTATGGTATTCTCTTTTCAGTCGTTTCTCTATATTACGATTTGTTGAAGGCGGTTTTTCTTTTTTTTTAATGATTTTTAATAATATCTTTTCTTGAAAATTTTAAACTTTATCGTTTTCTATTAATTTCTAAATACCCAAACCAATATGCAATTACGTATAGACAACTACTGAACTTAACGGTGATCTCATTAATTTATTAACGTTAAATCGATCCAAGGTCGGCATGTTAATTAGTTACAATGCCACATATGCGGTGGTACTCTTATTTTAAAGGTTTGTTTAATTCTTTTTATAGACGTCAATATAAAAAAATGCAACAAAAGCTTAATCTACAAATTGCATTTGTAACATAACTCTGTAACTACAACTTATATAAATTATGTTTAAAAAAATTCATTGATTCCAAACAAAAGTTATCAAGTGATATTGATTTTATAATTGATAGCAATACCAATCAAGCAACATATTATGAGGAAGAATAAATTTATAAGAATCACATTTACTTAGTAAGATCTGTTGCAGGTTATGGAGGAGTCAGTCCCCATCCGGTGGCCGGGTACGGTCTCGCCCAGCCGGATTACGCGGCAGCGGCTGCGGCAGCTGGGTACGGAGGTTACCAATACCAGTGTGGCGCATACCCCCCTCCTCCAGCGTACCCACCACATGCGCCTCCATACTCGCCACCTTGCTACATGCCACCGCCACATGCACCCCACGATAAACCGAAAGATAGCAGGTGACTATACAAATTAACTTAGTTTATAAAACTGAACTTAAAAGACCGGTCAAGTATATATAAAATTTAAGGCGCTGTAGTTTCGGAGATAGATAGACAACGACTAATTTTCGTCATTTTCTTAAATAACTTCAAAAATTTTATATCAGACTTAAATAACGTTTGATATATCATACAATACATATAAGGGGTTCTTGAAAATTCATGAACTTAATATGCATCAAATTTCAACTTTGTACTTTCGAAGAATCAGTCCTGTTGCCTGTATCTATATACAGGACTGATCATAAGATAACAGACTGCTTATTCTCGACTAGGTATTAATAGGGATTAAACGATACGAGTAAATACAAGTACTTACACGATACTTTTCTTTCGATACCAAGTATTTTGGTATCGATACTTTAGAAGCGAGTTAGGGATGATCGATATTCATCTATGTTTAATAAACATCGATGTTCAGCTAAAAACATCGATGTTTTGACTTCGATAACATCGGCACATCGATGTTTTCTAGCCAAACATCGATGTTTATAAATAAAATATCCTTAGAGTCATCTAACGTGCTCTAGATGTACTATCTAGATGATCTCATATAACTGTTTTCCACTAGATGTCATCGGTTGCACTCTTAATTGGACAAATTTTTTTTTCTTTATTTGCATTTTCCAAGGAAGTTAAAAATAAATCTGTCGACTTAAGCGCTCTTTGGTACCCTATAAAATTAACCGATAACCTACTTCAATGACTGTTACGATTTCATTGGTTACTTTGAGAACAAAAATTAATAAGTTGCCCGTAAGAAGTTACTAACTGTGTGATGATTTTTTTTTTTGCATTGATGGTATAAAGGTTCAATAAGATTCTTTTTCGGTGTCGGAGCTTCGCATGTATGAGTGATGACTTATGCTAAACTATTTGAAGTTCATCTCACGAAATAAGTCCCTCGGATCACAATGCTTTCGCTTTTATTACAAAGGAATACAAGTTATGCTGTGGGCTTCTTTCGTGAAAGATATTCTAACTAAACTCTTTTTGTTAATTAATGATGTTGAAAGCAAAAATCTCAATGTCTTAACATCGATGTTAACAAAATCAATCATCGATGTTAATTCACGGCGTCACGCAAGACCGATGCATTATTTATATATTTGATAATATTAATTTAAATTAATCGATATTACCAAAAATATCGAAATTTTGATAAAAATAAAACTAAATTTTTGTGTATGTAATACATACATATCTTGAAATACATATTTTACATACATGTTTAGAAAAGTTGGCTTTACTCTTCATCAATAAAGAAATAGATGAAAAGGTTCTTCCTTATCAAAATTAGTTTTCAATTGATTGGAATATATAATGATTTATTCTGTTTCTTGATAAATTTCGAAATATTCACTGTATTTTATTGCTTTGTAAATTATTGCAAAAAATCATCGATGTTCAATTTTCAATAAATATCGAACATCAATGTTGGTCTTACGAAGATGACATCGATGTCAACATCGATGTTTTTCTAATATCGATCATCCCTAAAGCGAGTATTACTATTGATTATCAATAAATGACGAATAGTAAGTATTCACAGTCTTCATTCGATACCGAGTAGGTATCGATACTTCATGTCCGATACGATATCAAGTAAAAGTATCGGTATCGTTTCATCCCTAGGTGTTAATGGTCCGTATGATCGAATACAGGAAGGTAACGTATACACCCATTACGCAATCGGGTTAAACTTAAACTTTCATAATAAATTCTTAATACTAATACAATCATACAAAGACAAGATATACCGTGATTCAGACGGCCACAGCGTCATCTATCGAAATGAAAGCAAGCAATGTATTTGACTGCGATTGTTTTAGTATTTTTATAACGATTTCGAAATTTGGTCATATGATATAACAAAATAAAATGATAAATAACGAAATTATTTTGGTCCTGTGGGTCACGTAATAGGTTACAAATTTCGAGGTTTTTTTTTTTTAACAGATAACAAAACTAAATGAACGTTTTGGTGGCATTTAAGTCAGCCGTCTTGTTGAACGGTCCAAGTGTTATAATGATTCGACTTAAGCGTGCAATTGAATGACGTCATTCAATTAAATGACTAGCAGCCTAATTGAACGCCTATTTTAATGAGTTGGCTGTGTCATCCGCATTCCAAAAATGATAGTGTCATTATGGACTCAGTCGAATATAGCACTTAGGAGAGGGGGGACACTGCAAATATTAAAAGTATTGGCTTTTCGTCATAAATAATATTAAAATATAAAAGGTACTAACAGTAAAGTAAAAAGTGAAATTTTCTTTTCATAAAACTGTTTTATGAAACCAATGTAAGTTCTTTTTCTTTTTGTATGATCACCTGTTAAGTATTTTGCTTTTATAGGTTCTGTACCACTCTAATAGTTAATAACCCGTAAACTTAATAAACCCATAATACCCAAAAAGCAAATTGGTTAATGATTTTTTAAGTTTTTTTTTGTATAATTCCTATTTCCTCGTTCCCGCCATTTTCCCGCCAGTGACTATATATATTTTTTATAAACGTTTGATTCTAAAGAGTTTTTTAAGCCAATCGAAATTTTTTCACCAAATTAATTCATAGATTAATTTTTATATATTGTTACGACCAAACACCAAATTAATTATATATTGTTCCACCACCACCACCTATATAAACCAAAACTGTAACTAAAATAAATAGAATGTCCATACGAGTTAAATCGATTTCCGATAACAAGAAATCGTTACAATTATTGAAATCGGTACAAAATAACCCACCCATATTGTTAAGTCTAAATAATACTTTATGGTCAAATCAAAGAAAAATGCATATTTAATAAATTTACTAAGCATAGATTTATTAAATAATATAAATATAATTTATAGTATTTATAAAGTAAGATCTCTTTGGGTTATGTGAGCTACTTTTTTATCATTTTTACCATTACGTCCTATGATTTTAACCAGTAATATTATAAAATATAGGTGGCTTATTATTGCATTGTTACAAAATTTTAGTTAATCTAACTATATTACTGGACCTAGCTGATAAAATGAGTAGAAGTAGTTTCGTCCATGGGATAGGCGAAGGAACTACGACTGATAAAATGAATTGTATCATTGATTTGAATAATCGCATAAAATAATTAATTCATATTAGGTATTTTTCCAGGCATTACGTTTAATAACCTTTCGAACCAATTTATATTTTCAATAATTTCACTAATTATCCGCATTTACATACAGTATAAGGTTAAATTTAAGAAACAAAATAATAAAGAAAAACTTTCTAAAAATTCAAGAGGTTGTCAAGTCGCTTTATGGTAGTCGCCATCTTGATGAGGTGACGTTCGGAAACAAGTTTACAAATTATTTATTACTGTATTATTTTAAAACTCTATAACAATATTTATTATGATATCATATCATTCATTGATATATATCTAATGTATCTAATCGTAATATTTTTATTATGTATCTGTTTTTGTCTATGTCAAAAAAAAAATTTTACCGAACAACATTATTAACCTTAGTTACAAATACTCTCCATAAAGTCTCAAAAACTTTTGAATGTGCTTATGGTGTTTTATTATTAATGTTGTTTTATCTTATCAAGTACTAATACTCACTTCTTAAACATGAATTGCATAGAAAACGGGATATATCCTCCACGAATCGTCGCAGATATGAACGAGTAAGTTTATAAAGTTTAACCAATAACAAAAGTCACAAAGGGAACAAAGTACGCATCAGGTACTAATTTACCTCTCTTTTAGACATCATATTGCCGAAAGAGACGAACGATTCCATTCAAACATCCCTTGGTAAACGGACGGTTAGCCCACCCCTCCCTCCGCTGCTCCAAAGAAACAAGCAGTCGGGCAAAAGTTTTTTAGTTTACACTCGTCATCTACTTCATTTAAATTATTCAAAGTTATTAAACTCTAACTATAATTATAAGATTTTAAACATTTCTAAAGTTTAAGTTCCTATACTAGAAAAAAAAAACTTTTAGACACCTACTTTTAGGCGTCACTTAACCTAGTTTATAAACTGAATGATTGAGGTTAGAATTTGTTGTACGATACAGATTGTTTTCGAACGGCAGCAACACAGTGGATCAGTCTAAATATACATGCGTCCGCGCACGCGCAAGCGCGTTCCATGGCCAGTGCTAAACGGAGACGCCAGATAAAGTTTTGTACGATAAGATATACACTTATTACAATATCGGTGCTTTTTTTGTGTGTTAACATTATTGGAACACAGAAATGTTTCGTTCTAGGTAAGTAGAAAAACTTTTAAAAACTTTTTATAAACTTCTGTCCGCGTCGACTGTTCTGGGCGTAAACATTGCTAGAGTAATAATAATATCAATAACTTTGCAACTCTTTGCAAGTTTTTTATTATCACCAGATAAAAATCAACCATAATAAAACTTACTAACAGTTTCGCGGCAAAATGAAACCCAAATACATTCTTTGATTATTTTATTATACAGTTTATTTTAATATTTTTTTATTAACATTAGTCGTCATTTTTTTTGTTCAACGTTATTAATGAAACTAGTATGGCCTGCAGATGCCGCTGCTTAAAACTTTTTAGTTTCTTTGTTTTGACGTTGAGTTTGATTTTGTTTTTCTTTATTTGCGATAGCTATAGCATACGTGAGGAACTTTTCGGAAAACTTGAATACCGGTTCAAGGAGCTGACACCGTCTCCATCGTCGAGGGAGCTTATACAATGCCCTGTTGAGAATTGTGATGGCTCCGGGCATATATCCGGAAACTTCGCATCGCACCGCAGGCAAGCGGCAATATTCGCACAGAATGTCTATGCCCAACATAACATTATTAATACAATAGGGCTGGTACAGCATGGCTTTAAAATACCTATAATGTTAACTAACCCAGATTTGTATTTAGTAGCAACGAACTCTGATGTGACAATAAAATATTACCCACTTTTATTTAATTTTCTGTATTGTTCCGTTTCTTTTTAGTTGATATGGCACTATTTTCTAATTGACCTAATGATATTCGTCAACAACCTTTAACTTGAAATGGCATTTGATAAATATTTTTATCTTCGAAATTATATTTAAATATTGTACTAGATATTTAGATTTTATTCAAAGGTATTATTTTAAAAGTAACATTCCTTCTTATATTTTCACGCGCACTATTAATTGAATAAAACGACTTTAAAACATTTCCGTGAAGAAACATTTCTGTATAAGACCGACATTACTGTCCTGGAACCTGTAAAGGATCTGAAACGTCAGGGAAGTGGTATTATTTTCAAAAATACGCATGACAATAAAACCATTTAAAAGTGCTTTTATTCCTATTAAATTAATTATATTCCTTTAAAACCAATAACAGCGTAAAATTGTAATTTATTTATACATTGTTTTAATGCATGCAGGTATTGGGTGAGAAAGGTGTAGGTACTGAAACTAATTTTATAAAAAGATGTGTAATTCATGTTATTACATATTAATTACTAATGTATGCTTTTCTTATGATATTCTAGTAAAACCTTATTTAATTTATTAAATGGAAAATTGAATTAATTTCAAGATGTTTTATAAGTTATCTGAAAGAGAATCTATAATTTGAAATGCAGCATATCAGCTGCTGTGCGCAGTGTTATTAGCCATATAGACACAATTTCTAATTAATGGTAAACGTTTTACTTTTAGAACATTAGTTTGTTAAAAACAAAATTGGTCATAGATTATTATATCTGACATATCTACCTACATATTTATTACAGGTTGATTTCAACATTTTACGTTATTTTATTATGAAAACATTATTGTTCTAAGTACTCATGATGAAATACATAATTAGTATAATTGCTTAAATCCATTTTACTTTTATTATTTCGGAATTTTTTCGTAACATTAACGAATAGCTATCAATTACCTAATACCTAATCAATTACTAAGGTAAATTAAACAATTTATTAAATGAGTTAATACCTTTAAGAATCACCGTCGCCGATATTTAAAAAAAATCACATTATAAACTTTCTTACTTTTTGTATTTTTTAATAACTACTTTTATAGAGTGCCAACCCTTTAAGTATTTACGCTACTCCGCTACTGTTCGCTCTGGATGACAATTTGCTCATTTCCGAGTTCAATCAATTGACATCTCAGTCTTTCCGAACACCTACTTAATTCATTCAATCTAAACTATGGAACACTCGGCATTTGTTTTCAAAATAGAATTTATTTTGAAAAAAGACACGCATAGACGTCATAGTGCACTATGAATGATACATTTGTATAACTTATGTGGTTGTATCGCTTCCGTAGGTACATAACCTCTAAATTGAATTTAAATATTTTCCTATTATTTCGGTTCGTAAAATAAGTATATTGGACACAAAACCTAATCAATATGACGTGACGCAAACTATAACGCTTATCCTCAATTTTATATTATATCTGTAACTTCTGTAAGTAACTGTCATGTTACAGAATTCTCGATAGCATTAAACCACCGACAGTTTTGTAATATGCTCGGAAGATGGAACGCCTAGAAATCTGGCTCATAGTTTAATAGTAATATCACCATTTATTTTGCCCAAGATATATTTATTTGCAATGGCTTATTACTACATTTAGTTGATCCCGAATCTAATTTATCTTTAAGGAAAGTGCCTAAAAATTTTATGTTATATTTGCTTCTGATTTAAAGACTTCATGACATTTTTCAACAACACAATGTTAAAAACTCTAAGAAGCTTTGTATACAAAAAACTTTCACCCCGGACTGTTTACATTACACGAAAAACAATAAACAGATGCACCATTCCGTGACCACATCATCGATTCAGATTCAGTTCAGTCAAGAGAGAACAAACACTTCAGATGACTATACTAGTGACTTCCACGTGGTTTTAAAATGTTATTGGATTAGTTTTTGTAAAAAATTACCTTATTACATACACATTTAACGACGCCATTTAAGTGGATGAGTAGAAAGCCTATTATCTATTTTTTGGTTCAGGTATAACTTTTATTACGAACAGATACTTAAGTAGGTACCCTCGACAGCTACTTTCTATCTAAGTACCTATTCTGAGAACTTCTATTATGATCGTTCGCCTTTACCTGTGCCTTTACTCTTACTCGACAATAAATACGCCTAAGGTCGCCATACGTCCCGATAAATTAGGATCGTCTCCGTTATTGAGTTCTCTGGCTTAGCGTTGGCATTTACACACATATACGAAATGTCACACTTTACTTATATTTATTAAATCCTAAATCATCAGCTATTATTGTATCCACTGTGGAAAAGAAGGCCTTCTCTATATACCTAGTTATGAGCATAATTCACTATGCGGGCCTAGAGTCAAAATTTGTGGGTGTCAACTATTTCAGTTGCAGCTGAGACCAACATCTCCTTAACTTGCCTTCCAAAATACGGAAGAGATCACTATAGTACAATTTTGGTTACAACCCGATGACCGGTCCTCTCCCTTAAACTTCAAAGAACACAGAAATTCTGTTTTAAAATCCGTGCAGACCAAGTACACTATCAAAAATCTTAAATTACTTTCTGTACCTATAATATGTTCGTCCAGCTTTTGGTGTTCTATAAAAAAATACAATGTCAAATACAGCAGCATTAGCAGTTCAAAAAGGAGATTTTATATAATTGAGCCGAATGCTGTGCTCTGTTCGCTGCCGTATTTTTAACAAAATAGCACTGATGATCATTTAACGCAATTTTACAGAATAGTCCTCCATCACCTAGGAACAGAAATTGTAATGTGTAGTCGAAAGCAAGCAGCTATCCCGGCACGTCATTGTAAGCAGTTTGTATATGTGCAGCCTGTCTGGATGCCCGCGCGCCGACCGCTCGCAGCTCCAGCCACACTCGCAGGAGCTCAAGTGTCCGACGCCCGGCTGCGACGGCTCCGGACATGTCACAGGCAATTATTCATCGCACCGCTCGCTATCTGGCTGTCCGAGAGCTAACAAACCCAAGAGCAAGCCAAGAGATGGTCAAGACTCCGAACCCCTCAGGTAAGTCCATGTCTTTATATGACGATGTCAGTGGTAATTATAACGTGATAAATTTATAAGGATATCCTTGTGATAAAATAATTAACAAGAGTTTTAACGATTTAAAACCATTTAGGTATATTTTCTAAGATCGAAGTTACATATACAAATTAAAATTGATCACAGAATTATCTCTTAAAGAATTTTAAGACTCAGAATTAGCTACTGTCTTCTGTTTGTTATTACGTAGGTAGATATATGTTCAAGCCGTATTTACACGATAGAACACATCACAACACTTTACGTAAGACTCAAGTAAATTAGCATTTACTTGTCTAACCTCCTACTCCTTTGATATAAACTAGTTTTCTTCCACTCTGGTTGCTTTTGTAATTGTTACAATAAGTTTCTTGGTTATTTGCACGCCGCTTAGATGCCCTATACCGGGCTGTGATGGATCTGGACACGCCACAGGAAAATTTCTATCACATCGAAGGTAAGAATTAAATATGCAGAAGAAATGTAGTTTGTGGTCGTAGTTATTATGTATCTTGGTACCGAGCGTAAGAGACAAGTCATGCGCTGTATGATGACGTCATGAGAATGTATAATTGTTTTAGAGAGCGACGTGTCTTGTTACTAGATTATTCAATACAAAGCATATATCTTTATAATCTGGTAACTGATAAAATTTCCTTCTGACAGTGCCTCCGGCTGCCCAATTGCAAACCGCAATAAAATGCGGGTTCTGGAGAGCGGTGGAACAGTTGAACAGCACAAAGCGGCAGTGGCAGCAGCCGCGTCGGCCATTAAATTCGACGGCGTGAACTGTCCCACGCCGGGCTGTGATGGTTCGGGTCACCTCAACGGGTCTTTTTTGACCCATCGTTCACTATCGGGATGCCCCATAGCGGGTGCTGCGACGCCTACCCCACAGCCTAAGAAACCGAAATATCCTGACGACATTACGCCACTTTACCCTAAACCATATTCGGGTAAGTAAAATTTGCCGTCCACATTTGAACAAAACCTTGATTGTCTTTTAATAAATGAGTAATGAAAACTAACGGCCGGTTTCTGAATTGAGAAAAGCACAAAATTTCAGCTGATTATTCTCAATTACTTAAGTTTTTTACGTTTCATATGGCAAAATGTCTTAGTTTTATCAAATCTCTATCAGCTTATCATAAAAAAAATATAAATCAGTAATGAAAACCTGTTTAAATGACGTTAAAAATGGGGTAAACACGGTTTGAGACGTGCTCAACTGCAGATTCTCAATTCCAAAACCGGGTGAACGACAATGTCAAACAAATAATGAATTCCGTTTTACTTTGCTTATTTAATAAGAAATCTATCAGCTAGTAGCACAGACATCCATTGAAATAGTCATTAGTTTACACTCGCATTACCTGTACAAATTTGACATTCATTAGAGCTTAAAGGCGTCATTAATCCTTAATGGACGTTTGTGCAACTCACCGTGTAACTATAGAAATATAGAACGTTCGGGCCGAAAATAAAGCATTTCTCCAAATGCACTTACGATATAATGTTAAATATAAAACTTATGTATTATGAAACAAATAGTTGCAAATAAATAATTGAGTCAATATGTAATAAATTTATATTTGATCACGTGTAAGTTAGTGCCTCGAATGTTTTGCATACATTTACTTCTTTGTTTGATTAATAAATTGGTACAATATCAAGAATTTTTCAATGTCGTCAAGTATAAAAAGTTTGAATTAGTTTATACATTGATTATCCTAAATAGGAAAATATTATAATCGTTATACATATATTTTTCAGGAATGGACATGAATATGCAGACTGGGAACGGTGAAGACCTGATGACATTGGAGCAGGAAATTACAGAACTGCAACGCGAAAATGCACGCGTCGAATCACAAATGATGCGCCTCAAGTCTGATATTAATGCCATGGAGACGCATCTGAGCCACGGGGAAAGAGTAAGTTTTAATGTACCATTTTATGAAGATAATAGAATAAGTCAGAAGCGAAAATGCCCTGCATTTTGGTTACGGTATAAACTATATCTACCCAAAATTCTATGCATAAAAATCTAAACTATTCTCTTGCTTTTCGTTAATGTTATATGAAACTTGTAATTGATATGTTTGTCTGATAACTTAGATGGTTCAGTCATGGCTTCAAACGACCAACTTTGAGTGCTACTGACACATCACGTGAACATAAAGTGAGTACCACACGTCACTTGCTTTATGGCACTTTTCAAACATTGCAGTTTATATGATGACATGACTGTTCCAACTAATATCAGTATATCCATGGGAGTATCTAGCATTTACTTATTAATTATTATTTGTTTTAATTGGGGATGCGGTCAAAGAAACTCGATAGATAATGTGAATTTTAAATACCTACTTTTTAAAGATATGATATTTCAATATTAAACTGCACTAATTCTGGCAAATACTCATTGAATTAAATAGTATTATTTTTTTACTTCATTTAAAGTTTCAAATCAGGGTTGAAGGCAGGGCAAGCGCTTAACCCTGACAACATTAAAAGTTGTTTGGAATTTTGCCTTTGCACATAATTACCAAGATTCAGTAGCAGGGTCTTAAAACTGTGAATCTCGTAAAGCAGTTCTCAGAAGTATTCCAAAAGCACTCTGTGGTGACTAATTTTTGCCGCTCCGTTTCCAGGAGAACCAATTGATATCGCAGCGCAACAACAACCTGAACGAGTACTACGAGAGCTTACGGAACAACGTGATCACACTGTTGGAGCACGTGCGGATCCCTGGCGGGGGCACGGCGCCCGCTGGGGCGGCGGGGGCGGCGGGTGCACCGCCCCCTCCCGCGCCCGGCGAGAAGCCGGCACATGACAACTTCGACTCGTACCTCACTAAACTACAGACCCTGTGCTCCCCCGACGGCTACTGTCCCGACGAGAACAGACCCATCTACGAAACAGTGAAAAACGCACTCCAAGACTTCACAGTACTACCTACACCTATTTAAGGTTCACAGAGCGCCGCCGAGCCCGAGCGACATTGATTACGCGACACTCGGCGGGGCTACCGCTCGCCTATATAGAATACACCCGTACCAAAAACTAATGTGAATTTATAGTTCGACTGTACAGTGCGACAGACGTTTATGTGTTCTAATATAGTTACGATGTCTGTTTTGTAAACCGTTGTATACGATGTATGAATTCTTTGTGACGTCACAGCGGCGACCGATGATCCGCTCGTTGTATAAATAAGTGAAATGGACTCGAGTAATTAGGATTATATATATAAATAAATTTTAAACACTGTTACTCGTATGCTTAATAAAAATAATTGTTAGGGGATGAAGTTTATACTAATGATGTACGTAAGCTATTTTTAGCCCCACGGACGCATTGAAATGTTTTATGTAAATATTGTACCTATTCGACGATCGAGTGTCGGCCTGTCTGGCCAAAGATTGGACGATCAGTTCTAATGATTCATATATCGCGCTCAGATTTGTATCGACCGATCACGTACGTTATAATAGTTCATAAGTGAAAACTGTTAATGTATAAGTTCTTACACTGGGAATGTGCCAAATGCTTCTGACACACAGCAGCTCCCATTCGCTGATATTTTAAGACTAAAAAAAATAATGTCATAGAATTAATAAACGATGTAAACAAAATTAAACTCCTTATAGGGAACTCTAGTCAGTTTTTGTAAATAATTGTGAATAAATAGTTGTCACGTCATAAAGACGTTTTTATTTGTACTAGGAAATAATGAGATCTCATTAGATCGAGTAAGTTAATAATTCACTCATAAATTGATAACCAATTATAGAGAATAAATTGAAACCTTCTTTGTTAGCCAATGTTCACTTTGCTGTGATTATGTTAGTTACGTGTTACTTATTTATTGTTAACTTTACGGATTGTGATAGCTTACTTGAATCGGGTTAACGTTAATTTGCAATACTTTTAAGTTATGAGCTTTATGAATGTGCTAACATTATGTTGGAAATTGTAATTTATGTTATCATTGTGTAATGTTTTGAAATCATTCCGTTCATATAATTACAATTTGGTATACAAATTAACAACGCATTCACATTTTAAATTGTAAACACTTACTATGTTACCTAACTCTGATTGTCATAATATGTTTCTGTAAAATATTGAGTATGTGTTGTTAAAGAGAATTAAAATAATAAATACCGAAATGTTGTATCTTTTGCCTATTCGAATATCAGTCTGCATATATGACGGAAGCTGCGTTGCCTATTATTTACGGAACCTCGATCTGTACAGACAGCCGCATGTCAGGTTATCACAACATGTCAACTTTCTACAATTGAATTTGAACTCTACTGTCAATTTTTTAAACATGCCAATGTCAAGTGATTAAATTAGTTAAATTAAAATAATTTCTACATGTAAAATGAAATGAATGAAAGATAACGATGAACTCCCTAAGGGAAGCGTCTTCAAGAGTATGATGCAAGGAAAAGCGTACCATGGATCATCCGTCAGTATGCAAAGTTAAATGTCTTATTTGTCAGTACTGACTGACGTTCTGCGACCGACTATACGCGATAATTGTAGCATATGTCGTCAGTTATGCAGTGATCCATATGGCTAGTTTACACGTAATTAAGTAGACAAGTAGTAAGTAGATAAGTAAATACGTGCAAATACACAAATCAGTGATAATTATGAAGTTAAATAAGTAGTATACTAACTTGCTACTTAAAATTAAGTTAAATATCAACTTATTTTCTTAATTACGTGTAAGCTAAACTTATTTGTTTTTGTTTTATTTAGTTCCAACAAGGTTTTAAGCATTAAATTGTGGTTACAACCAAACTAAGATAAAAATATGCCACGTTCGCGACACGTGAAGAGACATCGAAGTTACGAAGTTTTACATAATGGAATATCAATGTCAAAGATTTTTTTGGTATATCATAACTAGACATCGTATTATATGCATTTGTTTGTTTGCATATGCAAATGCATATAAGTATATTTTTATAGCGTTATTTCATATTTGGATACTTTTCATTGTCTGTTATCCCTCGTAATCCATATCTATAATTATTCCGCGCTTCTTCAGTCTTCAGCATCCATTGAATACCAATCAAAGTTTTTTTAGATCTATGTATGATTTTGTCGTAGCAACTATCGCACATATTCGAAATATGATCAAATTTAGTTTTAACCGGCATAAATTCAATTTTTTTTTATTTGACGTTTCTCTCGATTTGTGATAATAAGATTTCATTTGATTATCTACTACAATCAAACTTCTTCTTTTTCTACATGGGTTTTTATTCTTCACATTATAAGAAATTATACAGAGAAATCATTATAGACATGGCTACGGCCTGTTTTCTCTTATGATATCGAAGAAAAAATGTACAACTGACAATGGCTGTACGGACTAAGCTCCCTTCGCCTTTCTTCTACCAAAAAAGAGTCTGTGGTGTGTTACTGTCACTGTTTGTCAGTCACCTGTTAGTTTTAGGGATGAACGATATCACCTAGGACTCGATACCTTTCCTCGATTCATAAAGTATCGATTTCCACTCAGTTTCGGATGAAAAGTATTGATACTTACTCGTATCGATTAGTTTTAAAATATCTTACCAAAGTCGTCATTTCTATAGATGTTTAGAGCAGTTTTGATACTATTGATAGTCAATAGCAATACAGAGTATTGCTATTTACGGAAGAAAGACAAGCAGGTTCAGGCATAAAAAGCGATAGATATAGTTAGGTATCACTTTAAAATTTTGTTGGCAAAGCTTACTCTAGATAGATCTTTGGCAACGTAAAATTAGTAGCAATGCTTACTGATATCTGTCTCATGAACATTTCATGAGACAGACGTTAGGCCCATTACCACAGAGTAAACAGTCGAGTACGCGAGTTTTTTGACTTTCTTCAATGAGTGACTGTCAAAATACCGATACAAATACTAATCGTTACTCACTTCTAAAGTATCGATAACAAAATACTTGGTATCGAATGAAAAATACCGTGTTAGTACTTATATTTACTCGTATCGTTCATCCCTAGTCAATTTAATTATGACGTTAGCTACATATTCGTAGCTAGCTACATATTCTATACCTACTAAGTCTGTGCATATTCTTAATCTGTGCGTTAAATTGTAAATAAAACCACGTTTTTCGCCTTGATCGAAGAAACAGTTTTTTCATAATAAACCATAATGAAAACCCAGAAAAAGGTAATCGCTTGATATTACCATAATATAAGTATATTTACCTTTATTTGTTCTTTGAGTCATTTATTTGTATAAATTCCAGAAACGCTACTTCGAAACAGATCAAGAAACATCAAATACCGGTTCGAATCAAGATAATGTAAAAGTATACAATATTAAAATAAATCAAAAAGCATCAAAACGGAAGCCACATTTTGTAAGTAATGTTCAACACAAAGTTAATTTAAAAAAAAAACATATAATTTTGTACTTAATTGGTTTTATTTGCAGAAAAACGTAACAAATATCAAAAAAGCCAAGAAAACATTTCCTGGAAAAGCTTCTATTAGTGCTGATAAATTAGAAAAACATTCACGTGGTGAAAGATTAAAACCTAAATTAGTGAAGCACCCTTTATATGAAACCAAATTAAAGAAAAAAGAACACAAACTAAATTATGCACAGGAACAAGCTGCAAGATCCGAAATATTACTTACAGAAGAGCAAGGGTAATACAAACATTGTTTTTAAAACAAATTTTGTGTGATTTATGGGATTTAATTTACCATCTTTATCAAGTCTTATTGACACTTTCATGTTGGACATTGAGGGGGAGGAGGGGCAAGTGACGGCACTTGGGCATCAAAATCATCATCGTACAATACTTATTTACAGTAAACACAAAATAAGCTTTATAAATCTCTTCATGCACATTATAGGCTGTGATGGAACATACATGCTTCAAAATCCTTATATGAAATAAAAGCAAAATATCATTATATAAAATCCAGCTTCGTGGAGTGTGGGGGATAGAAGATGGGTGCCAAATGAAGTTTCTGTCTCTGTTAAAAAAATAGATCCTGGCCTTTATTAAAACATGAGTATTGTCTACTTTGCTATTACTTCATTGCCAGAATTTTTGTGTTAGAGTAAGCTATTATAAATTAAGATGCCATATTATTATCATTTGTTAATTTTATATATTTATAACATATTTGGTGATATGGTAATTGAGTTGAGACTCAATTTTCACATACCAACTGTATTAACTTTTTATCTTACTTGTTGGTAGAGTAATGAATATTTTCTGTAAAAGGACTGGAATACAAAATAAATTCATGAACTGTGTTATCTTTTTAGCTGCCTCCAAGTTGATGAAAATGTCAAAACCACATCAATATCTCAAAAAACAATCAAAGAAAATGTGGATATTGCAGCAGCAACAAAAATATTTGAACTGAATTTAGATTTTGGGCCATATAGGGCAAAATATTCAAGGAATGGTAGACATCTACTTCTAGGTAGTCAAAAAGGTCATTTAGCAGCTTTTGATTGGGTTACCAAAAAGTTACACTGTGAAACTAATGTCATGGAATCTATTCATGATATCAGGTATTGTAATATTTATTTTATATCACTTTGTTATATTTTGTAATGACATTATATTTAGTATTTAATTTTTGCTATTGTTATTTTAGTTGGTTACATGTTGAAACTATGATAGCAGCGGCGCAAAAGGAATGGCTCTATATATATGATAATACTGGAATGGAACTTCATTGTGTGAAAAAAATTAATAAAGTTTTGCGAATGGAATTTCTTCCTTATCACTTCTTACTTGCAACCGTTGTGAGTATACAATTACAAACAATCAAGAACCATTAGATGATAAGTATATAAAAAAACTTGTTCTTTTGTTACAATAATACTTATTCAACACCTTAGTCTTATGTTAACACGGAACCTGTAAAGAGTATGAAATGTCAATAATACTAATTACAAATGGATAGTGTGCATGAAAATATAAGGAGATGAAGATTTTTAATATCTAGCTAAAAAATAAATTTTGAGAGAACAAATGAAAGACAGAAAAACAATGTAATGCAAAAAAAATAATAAATAATCATTTCCGGAGAAGTAATCATTCTTACCTAGCTATCCTATTTATTTCTATACCACTGATCCCGTGTTAATAAGAATTCATAATAAAAAATTGCAGACAAAATTACTTTCTATTTTTTTTTTACTCTGTTTTAGTTCTATTTTTATATTAGATATCTTTTTAGCGACTATCTGTAACGTGAAATCTACAATTAGAGATAAATATTTCAATCTGTTTTTTGGTATAAAACATTACTACTGGGATAACAATTTCCTTGTAGATGAAGTTGCAGGCTAAAACTAATTTTATTATAAGTGTACCATGGGCAAGAGAAAGTGCCTGTGGTCTAAGCACTATTGAACTAAGCAGGTGCACCACGACCGATGCCTGATAGAAATCTCCTTTTCAGAACGAATATGGTTTTATGTCTTGGCTAGATATATCTATTGGTGAATTAGTGAGCCAATATAATAATCGCTTGGGACGGACATCAGTAATGACACAAAATCCATACAATGCAACTTTGTGTTTAGGAAATTCTAAAGGGGTTGTTTCTCTATGGTCTCCTACAGTTAAAGAGCCATTAGCTAAAATTCTATGCCATAAGACTCCTTTGACTGCCATTGCTGTTGATAATAGGGGAATGTGAGTATTCCTATGTATTTTACAATATGTTTAAATCACTTGATACATTATTGTATTGACAGATTGAGGACTTTATTTAAATATACTTTACTTTTTTTCAAGGTATATGGCTACATCTGGAGTAGATCGTAGCATGAAGATATGGGATATCAGAAATTTAGATGGTCCAGTTCAGCATTACAAATTGAGAAGTGCTCCTATAGATTTAGAATTCTCACAAAAGGACATGCTGGCTGTAGGACTCGGAGAAGTTGTGGAAATATATAGGTAGTCGAGTAATTTATAGAAGTTTTTGTTTCCTAGTTTGCACTAGATAGCTTGCCCAAGCTAGTCATTTTGATGACACATTCACATTTAAAGCTATATATGATTCTTGTACTTGTAAAATGAATTTTTTATTACTTTAAACATATTAATATATCTGTAGCATAATATATATTTGATAAAATTATAATATCAGTTTCTTATCCTTTTTGAGATTTCACTAATGTATAAATTTTATTATAGTAGTTTCATTGCAATTTTGAAAATAAAGTATGTAGTTTCAAAACAAATTTTTGATTATCAAGAATATCAAGTATAATAATAATGAATTAGCAACAAAGTAAGTGTTATTCAAATGACAAACTGCTCCTTTAAAAGTAGAGATTAAGCAAATGTTATTTTATTCTTTGAATAGATTGAAATATCAAATTAAAAACTGACTGGACCTGAACCATTTTGACCCCTGACCCTTTGTTAAATACGTCCTTGCTGATGATACTGTACTATCTTTTAGTAATTGCTGCACAAAAACGGTGGATAGACCTTACATGAGACATAGAATGGCCAAGAGTATAAATAACTTCAAGTTTTGCCCCTATGAAGATGTTTTAGGTATTGGTACATCTAATGGATTCAGCAGTATAATTGTTCCAGGTAGATACAATACTATTTTATTCAGTAGAATAATGCTGTATATAAATATGTATAATGTATTATTTTCATTTCACAGGTAGTGGGGAACCCAACTTTGATGCTTTGGAGAGCAATCCATTCCAAACCAAGAAACAAAGAAAAGAGGCTGAGGTTAAAGCTCTGCTTGAAAAGATACCTGCAGAGCTTATTACTCTCAATCCATTTGAAATAACTGAAGTAGATGTGCCCTCGATGAAGGAGCAGATGGAAGCTAAAAAGAAACTCTTGGTAAATTTTGAAGTTGGATGAAATAACCGGATAGATTAACCGGATTTAGAGAAACAACTTTTTCTTATAATCCTTATGTTCGATGTTACGTTTTATAGGTTGACATTAAGCATTTTACTAGGTGTTCACTTTTCATTTTATAGACTATTAATTCTGTAATAGTTTTAATTTTCGGTTTCTAATTTCTTCCTTTGTATAATTCACATCTCCTCTTTACAGTATTTAAAACCGAAAAAGATCGACTACACTCCAAGACATAAGAACAAAGGCCTTACAAATATTGCAAGAAAGAAGATCATTAAAGATGCAGCCAGAAAGGTATTTTTCAAAGATCTATTTTATTTTTTTATATTACTAAAGTTTACAGTATGTATTTCATGTAATAAAAAAAGCTCTAGATTATGTAATAAACTGCATTATCTTTGCAGGAACATATTGAGCAAGCTATTGAAGCAAGGAAAATTCTCAATTTACCAACAAATGAAAAAATACCAAAGCAGTCATTTGGAGTACTGGACCGTTTTATCCCAAAACATAGAACTAAGAAATAAAACAGTTTTATTGTTTTGATTTATTTTTATTTTTTAAGGTTCTTTTAACTATATGTTTTGATAAAGTTCCTGATAATATTTACATGATTTGTATTTACACATCACATAGTCTTAACATGATTATGAATACAATTATAAAAATGTCTTTTTTAATATAAAAATAATCTGTTCAAAAATATTTCTTAACAAGGTATATCAAATAAATCACATAAACCTTCTGAACCACATAATGAAAACGAAAAGTCGTGTTTGGAAGGTGGTGGACTCAATCTTAATAAATAATCTGAAATAAAAATGAGAAGAATTAATATTATATGTAATAAAAACAGCTACTTAACAGCCATTATGAAAAAAGGAACTAAAATGGACAATTCGCCACTGGCGAATATAAGTTTTACGTTAACGTGTTTATTGGAGAGCGCTCTTTTGCTCTAGATAATCACTGCAAAGGACACTACGCCGATTTTCAATAACAAAATCTTAATGCGTTCACGATCGAAGTGAATAACTTTAAAAAAAACTACTTTTAGCACGGTCGCCGAATAGAAAGAATTTCGTACATTGACCTTTGTGCCTACTGATAGATGTCGTTAAAATTTTAGGTACACTGCGAGCACATTGGCAACATATTTATATTCAAGTTAAAGAGATATGTAGTGACGGGTTACTGTAGGAAATTCTCTCTGTTCAACAACCATGCTTACAGAACAACAGAAGGCCCTAACCTTCTGAATGTTCAACAAAAAAAAAACACTTACTAGTTTGTGCCACACCTATGTCAGTTTCCAAGGATTCCTGAACTACTGTATCCATTTCTTCATCTTCTACATCCTGTAAAATGTTTTATTTAAATAAGATGAAACAAATTTCTACAACTGATTTTTTTCTGATATGATTATGAGATATGATTACCCTTTTCGGATGGTGTCCCAAAATATAAATTAGTTTGAAGCCCATAACCCTGATTTATTCATGTATGTTAATATTTACGTAATAAATATCAACAGATATATATCAAATTGATATTTATATTATTTATTGTTAGTTTGAGTATTGAGTCTTAGCAAGTTTAAAAATCTCGAAGTGATATAAAGGCAGGTACGTAAGTTTTAGAGACTTATAGAGAATATGGCATTTAGATGAAATGCTTGTATTCACACTTGTCCAAACACTACTAATAAGTTAATATAACATAGCACTAATAGAAATCATATTTACTTACCTTTAACTTTTCTTTATCACACAGTAATATTACACCAATCGGATCCTGGGATTTGACATGTAGGATATAGTTCTGCTCCTTATCCTGTAAATTTATAGATTACTTAATTAATAATACAATCATAAGAGTAAATGCTCAAAACTAAAATATAAAACAGATTCTATATTGCATTAATCCTATCTCAATGACAATATATAGATACCTTCTTGGGCACTGTCCCGGCTGTAAAATCTGCCCCCAATGGAGCCTCTAAAACTAACACTTGGTCATCTTCAAAACATTGTTTTATATCATTTTCCTTTACATAAGCTAAAGCTTGATTATCTGTATCATCCAAAACATTTTTAATACTTTGTTCAATCCAATGTAGCTGTCTGAAAAGATATAATTTATAATGAAATAAATTATTTAAATATTTTCATACTTAAAAAGATATTATAGCAGAAGTATGTATTAAATGGATTTCTGAATGAAAAAAAAAATTTTAACGCCAATTATAATGTATTATTCATAAATATTTATTAGACAACATAAGATATATTGCTCGGATCCCAAAGGATTTTTTGTGTGTATCATGTGACTTCTTCTTTTTTTTATTAAGCCAGTAATCAGCACATTTCGCACAATTCTGCCAATGTCAAGTGAATAAATTGATTTTTACATGTAAAATGAAAGTGTGACATCACTGTGATGGCTGCTGTCAGATAAGTCATTAAGATATGCCTATTAATTATAAAACAAATTCCTTATTTGTATCTTTATTATTCATAATCAATTGTTTAATTGTTCAAAATTTAAATTTTGTTTAAACTTTAATGCAAGAAAACTTATTTTTCTGAAATATTTATTTATGGCCTTTTTAAAGTATAATAAACGGTCACAAGTATTATTTCTGAGAATACCCTATTGAGTAGCTGAAGCACTTGTATTATCAATATCTGTAACAACAAACTTACTACAAACACCTAGAGCCGAGAATATAAAACAGTTTATTTTCTACTACTCATGTGGGAATAGAACCTTAAAAAATGTAAGTCACTGCCACAAAGATTGTCAACATACCAAAGACTTTTCTCATACATTTTTTATGGAAAAACAATAAACCAACTTTTAACTATTCTTTATTGACAAATGCTTCCATTTCAATGGTGATTAAAACACAAAGGTCAACTGAAATTTGAGTACAAAACTCCTGTAAATCAGACAAAGGCATAACATTCTATTACCTCAGCAAATGATAATCCATATAACAATTATAATGAAATATATAACTCACTTATTAAGTAATTGCTCATGTTCCTCTAATTTCCCGATTTGCCACCGAAGTAATGTTACTTTTTCACCAATACTGCTCGTTTTTCCATCAGGACCAACACCCCTTAATAAATAAAATAGGTATTATGAGTGCAAAGCACGTTATCAATAACATTTAAAATTGTTTATTACAACAAAAATAAAACTGCACTCACTTCCATTGTATGCTATTTTTGCTTTTCTTTTCAATTAAACCGATACCTTCCAAGACATTAGTAATATCATATATCCTTCTCTTTTGCCTAACAGCTAAAAGATCAGTAGCCTGAAATAAAATAAGCATCAAAATATATTCAAACAAATTGGTATTTCGTGACAACAGCTAACTCTAAACAGTAGCTTGACGAAACCAAATACTTACAATTTTCAAATCTAGTACGCCGTCTTTAGCTTTTTGCAGCAAAGAAACAAATCTTGTTGTAAGCAATCCCAGTGATTTTTCATACCGCTTGTAATTATCAGTCATTCTGAGAATTATCGCTTTAATGTGAATAAAATTTAGCTAATAATTATTACAAAATTTGCGTCGCGGCGGGATATTTTTTTGTTGGTAGCACTGTTTAAATTGATAGTATTTTTAACACTTATAATAGACAATGGCATCAACAAAGAAAGGCCATCATACTCATAGCCAATATGACTTTTTACCTTTCATTAAATTTAATGTTCAATAAATTTAAAAAGTAAAATTGATGACGATTTTTGAATCACAGAAATATCTGTTCTGTGTTTTTAATTAAAAGGAAAATAAACAAACTACGTCATTGTATATTACTAAATGGCAGCGCAAATTGATGTTTGAAGAAAATAGTGTTTTTCTTTAGTTTGTCTATGTTTCTTCTAAATTCGTTTCACACAATGAGGAAGTTAAAAAAAACGAAAGCACTAATAAACCACCTCCACTAGATGGCGACTCTAGCAAAAGTTTTGCAGTGCAGTGGACCAAGACAGTCATTTCCGTCTTATGGTCTTATTGTTCTGTGTTTCCGTTCCTTTGAACCAAAATATCAAAATATTAACAAACTGGAATTTGAAAAGTTTGAAACTTAGATATCAATACAAATACGAAAAAGTACAAATAGAATATGAGTTGTTAATTGAGTTTTCGCTTGTTTTTAAATAGAGATGGAAAAATAGGATTAAAAAAAGAAATTCTATGTAATACATCTGTCAGATACTTGAAAACATCAGATACATATCTTTTGCATCATATAAAGAAGAAATGACTTAGATATTAGGCAAATAAAGTTGAGGAGCGGGAGTTCGCTAAGTCACAGTATTGTAGAAAATGTACAAACCGTGACCAATACTACGGAGTTACTTCACTAAAATTTATAATAAGCGCCCAAAGCAGGTCGCGATGTTGTATATTTCAACACAATATAACGCTGTAATTTATTGATTATGCGTAAATCAAGAGTCGTATCGTATCGTAGATATCGTATAACGTCTTATCTAACAATTTATAAAAAAAATATGGATAATAACTAATTTTTGTTTGTTTGTCCGCCATGAAGAATATTAAAAACTTTAAAATTTTCTTTTTATTTACGCATAATCAATCCATCCGATAGTCACTGCTTATCTTTTGGACATAAAAACTCAATAATAATGAAGTTTAATAGATTTATACTTTAAATTTTTTTATTTTTCAAATTACAATTCATAACATATGAAATATGACACATACACATATGTTAAAAAAAAGATATTTATAGCAATTCCACTGGAGAAACCAGGTAAGCACCGTAAAGCATTACGAGTTCGGGCTAGCTTTTGTGATAATACTTTCAAGCTTTTAATAATGAAATAAACCACCAAACATTTGGTACTTCATTTTTACACAGTTCCAATTTTTTATTACTTGTAATTTGGAATCAAAGTTAAAAAAAAACTAGTCAATTACAAAAAAGAAGTTAGATGCTTTCTTCATTAATTTCATCATAAATGCTTGTCTCTTGGCTTTTGTCAGAGACATAATAATATTTTTGATATCTTTGTTTGAAACTTTATGTAGAAGACAGAATTAGTCAAAATTTAGAAAGTATTCATAAAAAACTGTTTTAACAATTCACACTTTTCCTTTTGAACTTGTAAATATTCATCCAAATATTTTTCATTTAATTGTATATTTCTCAACTCAATTGATTGCTTTAAGTCCAATTCTTTCTTCCGTAACTGTAATTCTTGTTCCTTAATATCTAAACCTCTATCAATTGTCTCATCTCTTTGAATTCTTAAGCATTCTTGTATATGTAAGTATTCAATCCATTGCCTTTCTAAGTTAATTTTTGCTTGGCACCTATCAGACTCAATTCGATTAGCCAATCTTATTTTTCTTATTTTAATAGAATGTTTACTTTCAGGGAACTGTCTTTTGTTATTACTTAATGTTTTTCCATTTTTAATTCGAATATCATGCATGAGTTCTGAGATAAGGTATGCATCAGAGTCTACATTATAAAGAGAATAAATATTATCCATTTCCTTAAAATATTTGAATTTGTTGAGACATTCAGTTTCAATACATTTTTTGTATTTTTTTGTAAGAGCATTTATTTTCCACCTTACTTGGTCTGGAGTCATCTACAAAAAAATATATATTTTGATACTGATATTTTCAAATAAAATTAAATATATCACAAGATAACTTTATCACATCAATATTGTAATCCTTTAAATTTTCAGATATTGCCATCCAAATCCTTTTTTTCTTTTTTGGAGTTTCTAACATACTCAAACTAGATTCATAGAGCTTTAGGAGTACAAATGTAGCACTGGATGTCCAAACAGCACCTAAAAATAAAAATACTTATATAAATAATTAAATAAAAAGATAATTGAACTTTCTATAGTGAAAAAACCATACTGTGTTTTAATGAACTCTCCATAACTTCTTGTGTAGTATCATCCATTTCAGATTTCACGCTTTCCTGGAAATGTTTTATTTTACGCATCAGAAAAATATTTACTTTTATAACATTACATTCTTATCCATGTTTCAATACAGCTCAAAGCTAAAATTTATTAAGAAAGACGATTAACAAGTCTAAGATAATTATAATATAAAGGTTTGTCGGACCAGGAGAAGGCGTAATTCAATATATTATTATTTAATCGCTTACTTTCAACCTTTCTTTCAAGACATTAAAAAAAAAACATTGCTTCTACAGACAAGGATACGAAAAACAAATAATATATCCAAAGAGTAAAAGTGTATATTCAAATCGACAAGTCCATGATCACAGACTTAGTAAGTATGCCCATGATGTAGTAGAAGTAGTAGAGATGGACGTTTAAACGTTAAGCACTTAAGAGCCATATGACAAATTTGCACTCTGTGAGATTAGGTATTTTGAAGCGTTCCAAGTTCTCGACAACTTATTCAAGGTCCACAATACTGTGTTGAAACTACGACTAAGCTATTTTGAGACTTTCCCAATTTTTGTATTATTTTTAGTATTTCTATGGTGAGATTCATTATCGATTCCCGAATATTTAACACGACTGCTCTCGAAAAGGAGTCTATTGTTTTTAGAATTAATGTATGTATGTGAGTTTTTTTATTGCACCATAACTCTTGAAAGATATAACGGATATGAATTTATAGGGTATCATTAGAAACATCATCCTAAGTTACCAAAAACTACATAGTGACACTAGTTAAATTTTTTAATATTAAATAGGTATGGTGACGTGTGATGCCATTTAAAAAAGTATGTTTATTAATTATTACTTTATGGGTATTAAATTAAATGTCTTGATAAGTACAATAAAAATAAATAATCTCTATACATAATTAACTGCTCACTCAAAAGAATAAAATATAAATAAATAATTTAAAAATTAAAAACACGACTGCTAAGATCGGACAAAAATTAAAAGAAACAAGTTTAGCAAAATCATAGGCTATATAATATAAATATCTATGATAATATATTTATAAAAATATAAATATTAATCAAAAAATATTCGTGCCATATTCTTCATCAACAATTTCGGAATATTTTCGTCATCCATAAGAAATATGTTTGTTTTTCTTGGCATAATCCATTCTGAAACAGTCCCATTATCACCATATCATTAGTGCTGAAAAGTAGTAAATTCGAATTATATTAAACTAGTTGTGCCCGCGACTTTATGCGAATGGAAAGTAACCTATGGTTCTTTTTTTATGGCTTGATGCGATGTTATTCGATATCGATGAGCGATATCGCACGAATCGCACGCACTTATAAAATGTATTGAAAAACGCAAGTGTTTGCTCATGAGATTGTACAATCTGTCAATATCGGTCACAAATCTCATGGTCTGCGGTATCGCTTCAATTGTATGAAAGAGGTAGAACGATTCAGTTGCGCAAACTTACCATATCATCAATATATATTAAATTTTACAAAATAATACGGCAATATAAACAAGTGAAAAGCCCGATGGTGCTGAATAACGCGTTTGATCTGCGATTGAGGAGGTTAAGCAACGATTGCAAAGGCCGGCAATCGGAAGAGTGGTCAATTTTTTTTTAATGGAACGATTTAGAACGACCGCGCAGTACGGATTACTTGGTAGATTAATCGTTTATTGAAAATATATATGCATTAGCACCACCAATCCGCACTGGCACCTTTATGTGGGCCCAGTGCGGAATTCTGGTTGCATTTGAATCATCGATTAATAATATGTGCACTACCAATCCTAATTGGTGTGCTGAATGCAACGAGGAATGCTGGTTGGAATAGTTTCATCTATCAAAAATATCTGTGCTTTAGCACCACCACACGTGGGTCCAGTCAGAAATGCTGGGTAGATTGACTTGATGCTGAAGTAGTTAACAAGTTTGATCTGCGATTCTAGAGGATATGTTTGAAAAGGTCAGTAATCGGATGGGTGACGAAATTTTTTTAAGTATACGTTAAAAAGAGAGCAAATACTCGCCATGCCCCGCTCCGGCCCACCACTACCCCGTTCAGCTAAATAAAAAAGATTGATCGCCCATCCCATTATTGGCTATTGCGAACGTCGCTTAATCTTCGCAATCGCAGATCAAACGCTAGAGCATTTGATAGTTAGTACTAATGGTACACATAGAAGAACAAAAGAGAGCTAACCCGGCCACTTCCGGCAGTGCCTGTCACACCCCATTCAGTCAAATAAAACAAAATTGATCACCCGTCCCATTACTGATATTCAGGAACGTTGTTTAATCTTTGTAAATGCTTGTTTCACCCACTCAGCTCAGCAAAATAAAAAAAAAGATCACCCATCCGACTACCGGCCGTTGCAAACGTCGCTTATCTTAACAATCGCAGATCAAACGTGCAAACTAATTGTACATATGCACGCGAAACCGTAAACACACACTCTTCATAATTAAAAAGATATTGAATTTAGAAAAAGTTGTTTGATATACGGATCTCCGATAAATTTGATATCGGTCGAATTGCATCGTGCCATGAGTCTAAGTTAATACTTATTATCTAGTGAAAGTCCCTTCAAAATCAATCAAACCATTTCAGAGATTACCAGAACTAACAGACAGACAGATAAAAAATATTATTTTTGTATATATACCGTGTATACACACAAAATGTATTTAGTGAAAAGCGGTTATTTTAATATTACAAATATGCACTCCAATTTTTTTACATTTATATATTTATATTAAGAAATGCTTTATTTACATTTCTTAATATAAATATATATTTTAACTTTCTTATACAATTATACCTAGGGGTCTTCCGACCCATGCTGAAAATAACGAATGTGTATTAGAAATAATTCAACAAGCTATATAAATTCCATATAAATCGAACTTCGTGATCAAAGTTGGAAGTCCCACTATACTGCTCTATTAACGCTCGCTCGAACGTACATAGATCGAAAATGGCGCGAAGTAATGCGATCCAACGTTGAGGAGCGCTCGCGCGGTACTGAGCTCAGACGGCCGCTGCATCGTATTTTGTAGTTATTTTGCGTTTACATTTATCGTTTTTATTGAAATAATATAATAAATTATCTTTTAAAATTATAATAACTTTGTTCCTTATGAAATAGTCATTAATCTGGCATAAATTTTATTAAATAATATTGTTGTGGCTAAGAGAAATTCAGAGTTAACTTCAAGCAATTTTTGATGTTTTTTGGTTTATAATATGATTTTTTTTCTATAATTATTAAGTGCTATTTCAAAATTTCGACGCTACTGTTTACTTTACGACTATATTAGAGATATCATTCTATTTTTTTTTTATTTCGTTTACTAAGAACAGTAGCTCAATCAAGGAGCTCAAAAAAAGTGTCTTTGCGCATTTTATGAAAATCTTTCTCTGGTATTTTGGGTTTAATTAAAAAGATGAGCAAAATTTCCAAAAAGTTAGGCCACTTATTTCTATATCAAGAGTTATTCTTCACTATTCAACAAGTCAAAATTGTTAATTTATTTTTGTTTCCGAGAAAAATCACGCAAAAATCACAGTTGAGATGTAATATGGGTCAAGTGGTAGATAAAAAAATATTTTTGGACGATTCAAAAGTGCTTGTAACAAGCTTACTTGAATAAAAACATTTTTATTTCAATTAGGCCCAGTTTTTTGATCCGTAGTCAAATGTCATTTCACCATTTGTTAACTTGACTATAGTTAAAATATTAAGCAGTTGTTAACCCGTTATTTCGTTTTTTGATGCCAAATTAATCCATAGCCAAATTTAACTAATGTTTATTTTATTGCCAGCACAATGAGTTGTTCTTTCGCTATACATGGGTAATTTTTTTCTGGGTGACAACACTAACGGTTTGAATGAACGGAGCGAACTAAATACTAGGATTTTGTTCCAAATATCAAATATACAAAAGAAATCTGTAGATTACCAAAAAGTGTGGATGTTTATGGTTGTTCTGTTGTGTGAACTGTGTGTTATTTTTCAGGAAATATAAGGCAATTTCTTTAATAATGTTGCAACAAAGATAAAAATGCGGGTTATTTTAAACTTAACTTTTGTATAAAAAGTATATATTTATTTTTTATTTATCTTATAGAGAAAGACGTGGAAAGAATATAGAATCTAGTATCCAAGGTGGGATATTAATGTTGGAAAATAAATCAAGGAATATGTATTTTATATACTGTAGGCATATTTACCTTTTGTATTGTCTATTCGTGGATTTTATACGATTTTTAATAATTAAATAATTTGGCATATGCCCGTGGAAACAAGAAAACAAACTATTTTATATAGTACAAATATACTAAGGATGAGCAAGATAAAAATATAACTTATTTTTAATAACCCTAAAACCCAAAAATTACAATGAATATTTTCCTATGAAATTGCATCAGAAAAAGAAATCCCAAAAATAAATGGTTAAATTTTTTGACAAATGGTTGGAATTCTGACAATTGGTTAGGCTAACTATTAATCAAAAAACATATTTTTCTGATATTTAACCATTTGTCGATGATTTTAACAAATGGTTGAGTTAACCACGGATCAAAAAACTGGCCTTAAAGCAACGGTGTCGCTACCACTCAGTTCACAGATAATTTGGTAGGGGTGTAAATGTAAATTAGTTTTCAAAACTCAATAAACAACTCATATGCTATTTGTACTTTTTCGTATTTGTATTGATATCAAAGTTTCGAACTTTTCAAATTTCGGTTTTTTAATATGTTAAAAGGAACGGAAATGACTGTCTTTGGTTCATTCGTTCCCTACAAAAATCAACTTTTGCTAAAGTCGCCATCTAATGGAGGTGCTTTTTTAGAGATTTCGTTTTTTTTAATTACTTCCTAATTGAAAATGTGCCTAATTGAAAATCTATACGTTTAATTGATAATAATTAACATCCCTAATATATCGATAACTAATTGTGACTAGCAAGCACTACCTACTTCACCTCGCCCTTAAATTCTGCTGTCAAATTAAACGATCGCAGCGCCAAAACTAGACCAGTGAAAACTACTGTCTAAAGTCACTGTCACGAATATGGAATACCATCTATACCGGGGGCAGTATCTCTAAGACCTCTGTCGCTTCTGTAACTATA